TTATGTTCTACTAAGCAAAATGGCAATGGGGGGGATTTGGGAAAGTGTGATTATAGACAGAGTTTTCAAATGGTGTGACTATAGAGGAAGGGACTATAGAGAGGGGTCGACTGTAGTGTGTATATTCGTTACGTTGACCTTAACATTAAGATTTTCTAACAAAATTTCCAAGACTAATAACAGTTCGCTCTTGTGGTGTAGTGGTTATCACGTCTGCTTTACACGCAGAAGGCCCTCGGTTCGAACCCGAGCAGGAGCATTTAGTTTGAAAAAATAACAATTTTTTGTGATAATACTGATGACACAGTTACTATTGATCTTCACGTGATTACGCATGCAAGTATCACACAGTCGAGAAGTATCTCATTGTGTGGGTAAAAATGTTGCCTGCACGCCATTTTACAGATACGCGCTCGCAGCATCAAACACTGCGCTCATTTTTAACAAATTGTCGTCCGGCGACCGCACCTTTTAATGTGGTGCAGAGACTCACAGCAGGGCTTACGACACTTGACAATAAACTAATATCGCAACACAAGAAACAGCGACGGCACGGTGTTGAACGTTCAAAGGGCTTACGTAAAAAGCAGATTGCATCGCCGGTTCCCGAAATTTTACAGCAAAATGACAATGGAGAGGAGGTACTTGACGCAGTACTTGGAATAGAAGTACAAGATCCTAGTCAACGTGAGCCAGTGCTCTTCTTTATTACTGTATTCCATGGCAAAGACTGTGAATCTTGTTTGCAACCTCCACTGGATCTTTTCGACTACTAGATATTATTTTAAATTACCAATTTTCGAAACATAGTGTATCCTTCCCCGCTCGCCTGTTTACCAGCGGAATTTGACACTAGCCGGCAGATTCTGGCTTGTCGTTACCGTGTACTGAGGAAGATCGGAGAAGGTACGTTTTCTCAGACAGTATGTGCCCAGGACTTGTATTATCCCGGACGGCATCTTGTTGCGATTAAGATAATGACTATTTCATACAATGCAATCGGTGTACAGGTGAGTCATGAAATGTATAATCCTTAATACGATCATTTGACATTAGGCGATTCATACTGTTAAAACTTTTGCAAGGAAAGCAAACTTTTGCGATACCTGAACGCTAAAAACGAAGACAGTGACACCCACATTGTTAGATTACTCAATACTTTTGTCTTTGAAAATCATTTTTGTCTTGTTTTTGAGTATTTGGGAGGAGGGACAATATCTATACCGCAAAATTACAGCGAGCAAGAACGATTGCATATACTGAGGAAGGTAGCATGCCAGCTTTTAACGGCACTTATGTACCTTCGAGGAATGGGTGTGATACATGCTGATCTTAAGCCTGAAAATATTATTGGTTTGACTGGTAATTTATTTGGTGATATGCAAGTTGTTTGTACTTGTTTGTTTAACTTATTGCAATCTTTACTTTTAGTTGATTCGTACAAATTGAAAGTAATAGATTTTGGTAATGCTCTTAGCTCTGATGATGTCTACCATTATTATGAAACATTTGAGATACAAAGTCTTTTATATAGAGCACCTGAGGTTAGTCAATTCGTAATTGTATTTCTGGCCGTATCTCTCAATTACCGTGATTTAAATAGGTTTATTGTGCTTAACTGAACAGGTTCTCTTAGGCTTGCCATTTGGACTAGAGATTGACATGTGGTCGCTTGGTATGACCATTGATTATTGCTGTTTAGTCTTGAGGTTGTAGCTATAGCTTACGCACGGAGTTATCACAGGATGTTTGTTATGCGAGTATTGGTTAGGTCATCCCATATTTCGAAGTTCGACAGCTGACGGGATGGTAAGAGCAATAACAGACGTTCTAGGGTATCTTCCTGACGCACCTTACAAGAATGGCAAGTTTATAATACGCGGCACATTGGAAAGCGACAGTGAGCTTGATGACGACAAAGCTCATGATATAAAGTTAGTGGACGCATCACATTATCTTACAACGTAATATATTAATATTTGCCTCTAAACTTTCAATTATATTGCTAATTAGGTCACGAAAGCTGCGAATAGCGCGCTTGTCTGAAATATTACAGTCTCGAAATATCGACTTTATCAATTTCGTCAACGATATATTCCATTATGACCCATCCGAGAGGCCGAAACCTGTCGAAGCGCTTTGTCATCGGTTTTTGGCACCTTTATTCCCTTATAAGATGCTTGTTGATAATTACAACGTGTCATAGTCATTTACTCTGCCAATGTGCAGAAACATTTTTAAAGGCAGTCAATGTCACGGATATTCGGATATAAATTAGTAAGTCTTAATTTATGAGATGCAAAAATTGATACCTATATGTTGGCTAGGCGTTGCTTGATAAGGACTGATCACTATGAACTTTGCAGCTCACATACCAACTATTAATCGCTAAACAACAATAACGAGTTGGTTTTGGTGGTTTGCGTTTGGAGCTCTATCTGCGGAATGAATATCCTTCTTAAACAACATATGATGTTGAATGTACTATATTCCTAATTCAAGCTTTGAATTATTAAAAATTAAAGATATCATAATTCGATAAATTGAGTGTGATTTTCTCTTTATTATGGGAATCTCGCTTATCGGCCGGAACTTCGAGGATAAGCTTGTTTCATTATTGGGGCGGAGGGCGCCTATTTTCCCTTTTTTGGCGGGCGGTAAGGGGAATGTGTCGCATAATTGAACTACGTGGCGGAGTTTTTTTGAAATTATCGATCTTAATTTGATCACAATCTGTTTTCTAATTACGCTTGGTGCATCTAGACTGGAGTTTTAGCAGAAGTCACGGTCATTATTCGGACTTGGACTTGACACACATTATATTGATCTGAGTGATATTTAGTGCAGTTCCGTAGGTAGATGGAAACGTCATGTTTTTCAACTACGGAAAAGTTCCAACTTCGTGGCACAAAGGATGTTAGAAATAGGAGCATAGACTTTAGACTTTATTTCGTTATCCTGAGGGTCGGTAACATTTTTTACTTGATTTTTATATATGGTTATTTTATCCGACACAAAAAACCCCTCGGTACAAATAGATTATGCGACGATTTGCGGGTTTAGGCTCGAAGAGCCATTTCTTTGAAATAAAACGTATGATATATATTCCAAGCACGTAAGTGCCCTGTTCCACAGTAATTTAATCACATGAATTTTTATACCTTTTTCCTATGTATCAGCTGGTTTACTTCTTATTTTTTCTTTTAACGCAATTCTAGTGGAGTATCAAACCTTAACCGAATTGCTAGAGGCTCATCCTCCGACCTAGTAAGATCGAATACAATAAATTCATTTTTTCGAAGGTAACTATTAATAACCATTGATGCATTTTTAACATCATCAGTATATTGTCGAATTATTTTGGCACAATCTTGAGGACTGCTACCAGAGTTCGATAATACTAAATGAGGCATTTTTCACACATGAATGTAGATCATGCTTATATTGGTTGGAAGTTCCGAAATAATAAAGTTTTATGAGCTCTGCTGATCCTGTGTAAAAATATAACCGGAGCAACTGCTAAAATCATTTTAGACAGGGTTTATAATAAAACTGTACCTAAACCTATTCAGTCTCCGCCCTGAATATGATATGGAACATGTTTTTAACTACCAGCATTATATCGAAAAAGTTATCATGTGAAATCGGGTAGCGATCATCTGATTCATCTGATCGAACGCGCTTTTGATCATATAAACAAACGTGTAGGTCAATTCTTTCTTCGCCAACAATCTAAAGTTTTAAATATAATGAACACAAAAGACAGCGTAATACATACATATTTCGAGCGAAAGCCTACAGATTGGAGTATTCGGGGGTTCTTGAACGAATGCGAGGAGAAACAATTCAAACTAAAAATCGAAGCTTATTGCTTATCACTTGAAAACATTATTAAACAGGGAAAATTAAATAATAGACATGATAAAGCCCAGCTCTTGCTGGCTCGGTATAAGAAGGTATAGTGTAAAGTGGCGTGGTAGAAGATCTACGAGACTTTCTATCATTCAAGTCTACGAGACGAGCCACAAAGCCAGTGTGGGGCACAGAGCAAACTACGAGTTTCTTTGTGTTCAAATCTATGAGATGACCTAGCGCTGGCACCGCCGGTGCACCAAATAAACTACGAGTTACATTTGATGTTAAGTCTACGAGACAACCGGTGGATATTTATTTATCAAAGATGTTATAATTTTCTCTTTTTTTTTTCTCTTAGGGAAAGAAACCTGATTATAAAGAGGCAAGAGAATGGAGAAGAGAGGAGGAAGAGAAGGAGGAGCGTAAATCTAAAGAAGTTGGTGGGCCTTCGATCCATTTCCATCAACCGACGTTTTCAGCTAATACCATTAATGGAATTAATAATACTGGAGCTTTCGATATTCATCTATTAAAAAAATCCAAGAAAAGAAAGAAAGATCAGGAAGATGAAGAAGAGGACGAAGGGGTAGGTTCTTAAATCATGATTGTTTTGTAACTTAGTTTTTTACTAACTCTTTTTCTTCGCCATTCAAGATTGACGACCCAGCAATACGTTATAATAGATTGATAGTGGGAATTGAAACTGCACGAGAAAATCAAACGGCCTGTTTGATGACGTAAGTACAAACTAATCTTTTTTGCATCCTTTTGAATCCTTCACTAACATGCATTCAAATTATAGCCCGCTGTGTTGGGGTGTCATAGATCTTAGAGCACAGAATGTCTCTCCGTGCCCAAAACACCCTCGTGCGAAAGAATTTCTATCAGATACGGAAGTTCAAAAACTCCAACAAACGGCTATTGAAATTATAAATAAAGAATCACATTTGAGCCTATCTGCTAAAACACTTCTGGAGACGCTTCAATGTAGCACTTTCAGTCTCAAAAAACTCATTAAGGAGAAGAGGGCTCGGGGGATCGAAGGTATTTGTTCCTTGCTTAAAATAGACGCGGAAATATATGACAAAGATACCCAGTACGTTGGAGAATGTATGGATGCCTTGTAAGTTCTTAATCATAATCTTTAATTTTACTTGTCAGCATTCTTTCATTAAGCCATGAATGTTATCATTGTAGTTATAGTTGGGTACATATATACGGTGGGACGACCAATATAGAACGAACTGTCGATATGCACCTAATTGGTCCGTTCTCAAAAACACCCGGTGTTAAATATATATAGTAAGAAGCTATGTTCCTTGTTAATTCTATTCTGCCAAGATATTTAACAATTCTTTATAGTGGAGAAAGTCATTCGGATGCCGACAGAGACGAGAAGTCTTCCCGGTCAGAATCAGGAGCAACTGGAAAGGCGTGTGATTTTATTTTCTGGGCAAGTTTTATTTTGATTGGTGTTTGGTGTGAATATGTTATATAAACTGATAGTAAATCTGTAGGGAAATGGGCACGAGATTGGCATTGGAGAGAACACTGGCCCCACTCATAAGGACCATCATAAAAAAAGTGTCACCGATTTTGTAGATGTCATAAATGTTGCTCGATCGCAACATATTCGTTTCCAAACGGAGTGCATAGAAAAAAGTGGGCACAATCCTCTTCCCTCAAATATTGAGAATGTATTGAAGTCTGTAGCGATTCCCTTTTTCCAAGTAATCGGGATGAAAATCCGATTCTACATTTTAATACAAATCAATGGTGATTTGTACGGTATGTGGGAATGGTCTTCGCAAGACCTACCAAGAAAGGATGATGACATTATAACTGTGACGGCATTATGTAAAAAATTCCTAATCCATCGAGTAAGCAATTTTTTCTCTATCTGTTTTTTTTTTTTAAATTTTTTTTTTAACTTCTGACTGAGATATTTTGTAGAATCTTCTAAACAAAACATCCAATCTAACTCAAACGGCTGTTAGACTTTCGCAAGTTTTCAGAGAAAATGTAGAGAATATGCAATATGTTCATATTAACAAATCTGTCAAACTGAGTCCTATAGTGGCTCCAAAAGAAAAAAGAGGTTAGCAATCATTTAATATATCTCTTAGTTTCTTGAATCTTTATATTTAATCATTATGATTTTTTTTTCTTGCAGTCTCCAAGAAAAACACTTAAGACTACTCACGTGATGTGGCCATAGCATTTAATCGAAAAATATGTACTCTATGTACAAACTTTGAAATAATAAAACAGAAGGTCATTTGCAAAACACATCATATCACAAAAACATTTAAAGTCTAAGTTTACTCAATAAGACCCAATTCTCGAAGATGTTCTGGAATAACTATATTAATATATGGGTCTTCATAGTACCAAACATACTACTAATGATCTCAATGGTGCAGAAGACAATTTAATATGGAAGGAAAGCAGTGAAAATGCTGGAGAGAGGGATGAACCAGCTATAGTTTTACCAGAGGACGTTTGCGAAGATGAGGAATGATAATAAATCGGCATTTACTATATATGGCGTTATTGGTTGATAATCAAGTGGGTGATGAGGGGGGGTGGGGGTTAGCCATTTTCACACCATTACAGATCTTATCACATGATCGCCACTTTCATATAGAGGGGCTCTTATTCATGGTGGGCCCTTAGTTTACGGTATATATTTTTATTGTAATTTATTGATAATCGAGTATTTATCCGCCGCTTTCCCCGCATTATTCCGTTATCCGCCGCTTTTCCCGCTGACATTCGGATTATTATCACGGTTATTTAGGTTATTATGTAGGCACGATGATGATTTCCAATTTAAGTCAAAGACAACCAATGATAAACATGCATAACTTGGAGCGCT